GATTTACATATAACCAAGGTATAGCCTTGGAGAGGTGATTGAGCGGACAGGTAAATCAATAGCGAACTGTAACAAACAAAAACACATTCTGAATCGATAAAAGCCATAACAAGAATAGTCCATAGTCATTGCATTATCTTATCTAGTGCCTGTCTGCCTCAATTCTACTTGACGTGAATTCAAACTAACGTACTGTCCTAACAGACATATATCTGACATGTGTAAGGTGGAAATGTTAAATACACAACAACAATTAAACATTACACAACAACGTATAACGGACAGAAATATTTGTACAAAAAATATCTATTTGTTTATTGTGAGTCTAGTATAGCGGAGTCTGACAGTCCCGAACAAGAAATAAACTTCTTTTATACTTACCTTACCTTATCTTGTCCTATCTTATTTTACCTTATCTTCTCTTGTGATATAGTATCCTTTCTTATCCGATCCTATTTTATCTTATTTTACATTATCTTCTGTAATTCTATCTTATCCAATCGTATCTTATCCTTTCTTATCCAATCGTATCTTATTCTTTCTTATCCAATCATATCTTATTCTTTCTTATCCAATCATATCTTATTCTTTCTTATCCAATCATATCTTATCCTTTCTTATCTTACCTTTCATTGTCTTATCTTTTAATATCTTACATTATCACCTCTTACTCTATCTTATCTGTCTTATTTTATCTTATCTTATATCTACTATAATGTACACCGAACTGATACCATAAAACGTAGCAGATTGACCGCCTCCCGCCCTTTACCTCAGGCTCCATACATGATGTACTTTGTATATTATAAGAAGTCATGGTAACAGTAATGTTTTTATGTAGTCATTCCACTACTATGATGAGGATTGAAAAAAATGTTGTTGCCATTCATGGGCTATAACTATCTACAGGACAACGGGACATTCAACAGGAAGAGCTGCAGTGTTTTCGTCCTGTTGCCATTTTTATGGCCAAGCGAACTAGATTTCTATTTTAATCCATGTCCTGATGACTTACAAGTGATTGCTCAACTTGAAGGTCATTAGCGTGACGGCCTAGATAGGAAAGCAATGTCGCTAAAACAGAGATTGTGTTCTCAGAGTGAAAAGCCATTTGTAAAAACTCAAGATGACCAGTTCCAGGGTAGGTGTGTTATCACACGTCGTGTCAGCGACATGACATCAATTGATCTGTACATCGAATTGCCCCTTAATTAGTTTGTTTAAGTCCTGTGTCATCCCAACAACCAAAGTATATAAAGACGATGATGATGTTGTGGTGGACTAATCCTGAACGATATGATTTTAGCACGTGAAGACATGGAGACATAACCAATTGCCTTCATTACTATGGCGGAATTTCTGCTCAATGACGAAATGTAAGGTGCTGACAATATGGGGCCCTCGTAGATATATTATAGTAGCAGTTGAAAGTAAAGGCAAATTTATTAGCTAGAGGGAAATTCTCTTTAATGGAGAGTAGAGTGTCCGGCTAGAGACCCAAGGGTCGCTAGCTCGAACCCCAGCGGTGTAAGGATGACCGTGTAAGGAGTGTCATTAATCCTTCCTATTACAGATTTGGTGCCGTTGACCACTCGAAGGAAGGAAGATATAGGAGATTGACATGCTTCCTCGGAGATATTGAACTTGGGTTGTTGTTGTCTTTGTGAAGGAGGGAGTTTCCCTTAAATCGAGCGCTAGAGTGTCCAGATAAGGACGGAAGGGTCAGTGGTTCGAACTCTATCGGTGGTAAGATATTTTGAATTACTCCTTCATATCACGTTGTGAAGACACAGGGGGAAATGATAAAAACAATAACAAAAACAGCAAATAGACACCATCATTGTGGTTTATGTCTCTAATGCTTCAGTTAATACAAACATATAGCCAGTTATATACAACAGTAGATAATTTATATAAGTCTTATATATATGTTGTACACCTGAAACATTGAATTAAAGTTTTCACACTTGTTAGTTTTAACATAAAGAACTGTACTTACCTTTTTTAAAACATGTATCTCTACTAAGAGTCTGTGTCTGTCTACATTCATTGAGTTCTCACAAATCTGTTGGAATATGAAGATCTAACTGTTATAAACAGTGTTACTTCACAAAGAACGAAACTCTAGAAATTTTACATCGTGACGTCACTTGACGATCAGCTGGTGGTACGTCAGTGTTAATTATGTCTTAGTTTTAGAAAGGATCGCAATATCCTTAGATATTAGCATTTGCAATGCCACTGTATAGACCAATCAGAAAAGTGCAATCCAGCACGTGACCAGTATGACGTCAGCAATGTGAGTATTAACCTTAAGACTGTCCGCCGTCAGGTGGTTTTTCCAACTGACGGATGACGCCGTCTAAAAACGGATATTTTATTTTAGTTCGATTAAAATAAAAATTGTCGTTTAATTCATGTTATGACAGGCATACAACCTCAATAAGCTAGGGAATGTAGATATGAGCATTGTACTGACATTCATTGTCGTTATAAATGCCATAGCTATATAGGCAAACAACATAATTCGCACTTACTTAAATAGTGGCCTGTTTAACCATGAAATCTCGTGATAAAGATAATGAATATGAAGATCAAAAGAATTCTTTTTTTCTATATGATACAAATCGAAACATTGAAAAACTAGCATTGAAAATGAAATATAACATCTCTACATCCTAATGGTTCCTTTGATATTGTGACCCAAGTTTACAGGAAACGACGCCTCGGAAATCCTTAACACACCATTATATCAATCCATATACGTAACATGTGCTTGTCTCAGTAAACTGTTGTTGGCTACACTTCATACCCTACAATTCCTTGTAGTTTTAACTTTCATTAAGACTTTTAAGAAACTTGCGTGCAGTAGACATTTCATGTGGGTGGTCGGGTGGCGCAGTGGTAACGCACTCGCCTTGCACCTAGCCGACCGGAAAGGTAAGGGGTCACCTGCCCGACCACGTGGGTTTTCCCCGGGTACTCCGGTTTCCTCCCACAATAAGACCCCTCGCGCGCTTACATCCGAGTGATAAGTATAAGTTGACATAACTTGTTTCGCAATTGTTGTAAAACAAATAAAGTTCATATATATAAGACATTTCAGTACATTTGTACCAACAGATATTTTAATATGTAATTATAACATTAGATGGTATTTTTTCTTATAATGAAGCATTTTTCCACATGCGATAAATAATTGATAAGATTTGATATCTCTAGAAAGATATCATTGTTTTTATTTTAAATCCCACCCAACAGCCGGACAGTCTTCCACTTTATTAAGCCACGATTGTCAAGTTTTCGCTCTAACCGACTGTCCTATCTAAACGCTATGTTCTGAAATGTAAAGCGGCTTGTTCCAATGTTTCTGGGGGGTGAGGGTTTGTATGATCTACAATTAAAGATTTATTCACAAGTAAATTACACCTACAGGAAAACAGGAATTAGAATTCAACGGACTGCATTTGCATATTTTTACTCGTTTTGAATGTGAAAGAAGATTGACGATTTGCCGAATGTAGCTATGTCTGTCCGTTGAAATAGGGGTCAAATAAAGCTGGTATCCAAATAGTCCAGCGGGTTTTGACTTTCAGTCCTCGATTTTATTTTTGTCGTGGTCGACTATGGTTAGAATTCCTTCCTATATAAATTCTGGTGACCCCTGTAAGGGGATATCGCCGGTCTTCTCTCGCATTCAGACTGAGCGAAAATAAAAGTATATTATAGATTATGTCGTTATTTAGTTCACCTGAGTCTCATGGTCACCTATGCTAATAATCCGTAAACAATTTAATACTTTCGACTTCTAAAGAAAACCTGATCCGATTTTGCAAAAACTTTTCTTTGCCTAAGTTTAACAGTTAGTGAATTATACAGTCTCCACCCCCAGGGGCCTGAGGGGCGGGGCTGAAAGGACTCAAATTGACTGAAATTTCTAAAAATCTTCTTCTCAAGACCCAGATAACGGGGTAAAGTTAATAATATCTTAAAATAGGAAAACTAGATTTTTAAGCATAATTTGCTGAATTTCCATTGGAAATATTTCAAACGTGATTAGAATTATGAGTGAAGGATGAAGTCTTGATGGTAGGCCCATTTTGATCCTGAGTAACCCCCCAAAGGCTGATGGGCGTGACCAAAAACTGGTAAAATTCAGTTAAATTTCATAAATCTTCTTCTCAAGACACGGTTAAGGTAAAACCAAATGCTCTTCATGAATGGAAGCATATTAAGATGCTCTAATTACCAAAATCAGACTCACATTTCTTCCTGGGGAGGAATATGATGTTTAGACTTTATTGTAATTTTCATAGACAAATTGCATTTTTTAGCATAACGTTGGTTATTTCCCACTGGAAATAACTTTATAAGAATTATCAGTATATAATCAATATCAGATGGCAGTTTTGATGGTATGCATGTATTGACACTCACTTACTATAATCAGTGTCACAATTTCTGTTTCATATTACTTGATAACTACTCCTTAATCTTTATATACAAGTTGCTTATCTCAGGTGACCTTCAAGGCCGCTAGGCCTCCTGTTCTTGTTGGTCATTTATATGTTAATATTTGGGTACTAATGATGTAAAAATCGAGACAGTATTTGGCCAAGTAGCAGTGACGTTTTGAGACTGGCTCATTTCTCTACGGTATTCTGTTAGTCCCCTTTATCAACTATGGTATGAATCTCCAAGAAACATCGTGACAAGACCTGCATGGCCAAGATATCTGAATTGAGATTTGCCCTTCCTCAGTGGATTGCAAAATATGACATTGATGACGTCAATTATTCTCAAAGACGTCTATATCTTTGTATCGCATTTCATATATAAACTACTGAGAATGTCATTTGTCTGTCCATAGATGTTTTTCTCAAGATTAACGATATCATCAAAGATATTTTTTTTTCAAAAATATCCTGAGAGAACCAAGAACGAATGTTTTTATTCAATTTTACTGAAGTACAGGTAGGAACAAACGCTAGTTTGTCTGTTCAAATAAAACCAAGTGGATAAGCAATTGACCCGGAACCAACGCCTGAGACTGAATTAGCGGTCGTAGAGGTCGTTGGTGGCTTTGAAGTTGTGGTAGAGGTTGTTGGTGGCTTTGAAGTTGTGGTAGAGGTCGTTGTTGACGTTGGGTTTGTGGTAGAGGTCGTTGCTGATGTTGGAGTTCCGGTAGAGGTCATTGTTGACGTTGGAGTTTCGGTAGAGGTCGTTGTTGACGTTGGAGTTCCGGTAGAGGTCGTTGTTGATGTTGGAATTTCGGTAGAGGTCGTTGTTGATGTTGGAGTTTCGGTAGAGGTCGTTGTTGATGTTGGAGTTCCGGTAGAGGTCGTTGTTGATGTTGGAATTTCGGTAGAGGTCGTTGTTGACGTTGGTGTTTCGGTAGAGGTCGTTGTTGACGTTGGGTTTGTGGTAGAGGTCGTTGTTGACGTTTGAGTTGTGGTAGAGGTCGTTCTTGATGTTGGAGTTCCGGTAGAGGTCGTTGTTGATGTTGGAGTTTCAGTAGAGGTCGTTGTTGATGTTGGAATTTCGGTAGAGGTCGTTGTTGACGTTGGGTTTGTGGTAGAGGTCGTTGTTGACGTTTGAGTTGTGGTAGAGGTCGTTGTTGATGTTGGAGTTGTGGTAGATGTCGTTGTTAACGTTGGAGTTCCGGTAGAGGTCGTTGTTGATGTTGGAGTTCCGGTAGAGGTCGTTGTTGATGTTGGAGTTGTGGTAGATGTCGTTGTTAACGTTGGAGTTCCGGTAGAGGTCGTTGTTGATGTTGGTGTTTCGGTAGAGGTCGTTGTTGATGTTGGAGTTTCAGTAGAGGTCGTTGTTGACGTTGGAGTTTCGGTAGAGGTCGTTGTTGATGTTGGAGTTGTGGTAGATGTCGTTGTTGATGTTGGAGTTGTGGTAGATGTCGTTGTTAACGTTGGAGTTCCGGTAGAGGTCGTTGTTGATGTTGGAGTTTCAGTAGAGGTCGTTGTTGACGTTGGAGTTCCGGTAGAGGTCGTTGTTGACGTTGGTGTTTCGGTAGAGGTCGTTGTTGACGTTGGGTTTGTGGTAGAGGTCGTTGTTAACGTTTGAGTTGTGGTAGAGGTCGTTGGTGGCTTTGAAGTTGTGGTAGAGGTCGTTGTTGATGTTGGAGTTGTGGTAGATGTCGTTGTTAACGTTGGAGTTGGTAGATGTTGATGTTGGAGTTCCGGTAACGTTGTTGATGTTGGTGTTTCGGTAGAGGTCGTTGTTGATGTTGGAGTTTCAGTAGAGGTCGTTGTTGACGTTGGAGTTCCGGTAGAGGTCGTTGTTGATGTTGGAGTTGTGGTAGATGTCGTTGTTAACGTTGGAGTTCCGGTAGAGGTCGTTGTTGATGTTGGAGTTTCAGTAGAGGTCGTTGTTGACGTTGGGTTTGTGGTAGAGGTCGTTGTTGATGTTGGAGTTGTGGTAGATGTCGTTGTTAACGTTGGAGTTCCGGTAGAGGTCGTTGTTGATGTTGGAGTTTCAGTAGAGGTCGTTGTTGACGTTGGGTTTGTGGTAGAGGTCGTTGTTGATGTTGGAGTTGTGGTAGATGTCGTTGTTAACGTTGGAGTTCCGGTAGAGGTCGTTGTTGACGTTGGAGTTTCGGTAGAGGTCGTTGTTGATGTTGGAGTTTCAGTAGAGGTCGTTGCTGACATGTAATCCGTCGTTGTAGTTACTGATTCCGAATCAGAATTAATAAAAAGAGTGAATAGAAATTGTACAAATATGCATATAATCATTTAGTACATTTTCACGTTAGTTAGCATTTAGTACATGCACCAGCGGACGGGAGAAGTAATATTCATTCTTTAGAAGAATTTTTTATGAAGAAATAATATTATTTTGACAAACTGTTTGTGAAGTAAATGCGTGAATATCATCCATCTAATTTAAATACAAATCAAGTAATTTTTTTCTAGGCAATAACATTGCGAGCTTTGCCCAGTACGAGTGAAAGATACAAAACATATTAGACACACGAGTGAATTATATTTGTTATTACTGAAGATACTATTAGAAATTCTAAGACTACTCACTCAGTACGCTGCAAAATATAGTCCCTTTTTAACAAATCATTAAAAGATGTAAACACAAAAATAAAAATTCAATGAAAATTTGTTTTCATATTCACATAAAAGATGTTCGAGAGAGTATAATCTGTGACAAGTTACTACGCGACTGAAAATAAGGCGGCAACCTACAGTTTTTCGCTGTTGATGACACGAATCCCATTGAAATGTCTAACGTGTTAGCTCCCTATTTGAGACGTTCGGTTGGGAATCGGGTTGGCTGTCTGATAAGGTAATTTGCGTTGCATTGTTTGCTGACTTTCACGGAAACATTTTTTATTGTACCATGCTTTATGATTTGTCAATTTTAAAAGATGATTTGTGTTCTCTCTTTTCATTGGTGTAAGTCTGCAAAAGTGCTATTTTCCTTTGTTAAAAATAACACTTTCATCAATGAGATATATTTCTATATTTCATTGGCAAAAATGAAACAAAACGCACTATCATTATACAAAGTTTAAGTAAAAAAAGGGAAAGGAACTGATGGCAATATCCAATGTCAAGGTCAAATGAAAACTTAGAGACGGGCGTCGCCAAGCTACAAAGCGGGTCTGATCTGAAAAATCACTTTTTATGATAATTTAATAAATGTTGTAGAATTATCAGAAGAAGAAGCAATGATAATTGACTTCAATGTTAATATTCACTCATTGGCTGTTGTCCTACCTGTGACTTTCGCGGGGTTGATATTTTCCGTGGCCGAGAAAATCTAGTTCGTGAAATAATAAGTCATGTGTGTATTTTGATGTCCAAATCCCTAAATTTGAATTCGTTGAAACATAATGCGATCGTTTTAAAAGCAAATTCAGAAAACAAATTTGACCGGTAAAAATAACCAGAGATGCCTAGTAAGTATTACATGTGTTGATTACAATGTTAAATTGCGATTTTCTTTAAAGTAAAATTGCTATGTTTAAAAAGGCCTACAAGTAATCTTTACGTGAAAGTGTTAGCAGTTGTCAAAAACATGATTCTTCTCGGTATTTTTCGTTTTACGTCGACAATGATACACTTGTATCATAGATAATGTATCCGCACATTTCTTGTCATGCGCGACAGAGATTTGATGTCCTACAAAATCTACACATACTTCACATTTTACTAACAGCTGTATATAATTATATGGGTTACTATAAAATATTCTATAATTAATTATATTAAGTGAATAGAATAAACCTTCTCATTGAATGTAGCCATACACTATATCAAGCACTTGTTAATATTCTTTGTAACTCTTCAATAAGAAGGTAATAAAGATATGATGATAATAATGACGATTTTATGACTTACCTGGTGTGTCTTTCGTCATACAGACAGTCGTCCCAGACATCATCTCAACACACACCTCGTGTATTCCACATGTGTTCTTCAGACAGACACCGTCCTACAGAATTATCATTTATACTCCATAAGGAAACACAATGTCTTGGTGATTAACTATAGCCAGTTTCAAAAAGATAAGTCTATAACAGAGACTTCTTCCGACCATGTTTACTATGACAACAACAAAGGACGGTGAAATCTCCAAATACAGTTGAATCAAAGTGCTGTTCAGGATAACATTACTACAAACATGTACAGGTTATCATTAATCAGCACAATAAGTTTGAAAATTGATATCAGGACAAATGGCAAACGAACAACGCCGCCAAATCTTACTACCCGTCAAACTACGGGCGTATACAATTACAGCAGTTTTAAAACGTCAACAAATTAAAAATAAAACTATTCGCTACGAAAACTTTTCCAAAACAAAACAAAAAACGAAAACAAAAAAATCACAAATGGAATGTGGATGGTATGTACTTAAGTGAATGAACTAAATAAATCTTATTTACAACACAATACGATTATGAATAAAACAAATCTACAACATTGCTAACTTAGGTTTTTTGGTATACCTGGCTAAGCGAGGACGGTTCTGCTACCATATTCTTGAATATATATCCGTCAGAGGGATTAAGCGATGTGATGTTACCAGTCTCTGTATTTAGTTCACAAGAGAAATATCGTTTGTTATAATTTACACTGTGACAGAGAGGGTGTCTCCTGCACTTTGTTAAACATTGTTGAAATCCGTACCGTGTAAAACTCTCGAGCAAAAAACCATCCAAATACTTGTCGGTGACTGCGTCCTCTAATATGTTCTTACAGTCCATAGCATTAGATGATGTCACTGGAAAAAAATAGATTAAAAACTCAACCCGAAACCTCTAATATGTTCTTACAGTCCATAGCATTAGATGATGTCACTGGAAAAAATAGATTAAAAACTCAACCCGAAACCTCTAATATGTTCTTACAGTCCATAGCATTAGATGATGTCACTGGAAAAAATAGATTAAAAACTCAACCTGAAACCTCTAATATGTTCTTACACTCCATAGCATTAGATGATGTCACTGGAAAAGTAAATTAAAAACTCAACCCGAAACCTCTAATATGTTCTTACAGTCCATAGCATTAGATGATGTCACTGGAAAAGTAAATTAAAAACTCAACCCGAAACCTCTAATATGTTCTTACAGTCCATAGCATTAGATGATGTCACTGGAAAAAATAGATTAAAAACTCAACCCGAAACCTCTATGTTCTTACAGTCCATAGCATTAGATGATGTCACTGGAAAAAATAGATTAAAAACTCAACCCGAAACCTCTAATATGTTCTTACAGTCCATAGCATTAGATGATGTCACTGGAAAAGTAAATTAAAAACTCAACCCGAAACCTCTAATATGTTCTTACAGTCCATAGCATTAGATGATGTCACTGGAAAAAATAGATTAAAAACTCAACCCGAAACCTCTAATATGTTCTTACACTCCATAGCATTAGATGATGTCACTGGAAAAGTAAATTAAAAACTCAACCCGAAACCTCTAATATGTTCTTACAGTCCATAGCATTAGATGATGTCACTGGAAAAGTAAATTAAAAACTCAACCCGAAACCTCTAATATGTTCTTACAGTCCATAGCATTAGATGATGTCACTGGAAAAGTAAATTAAAAACTCAACCCGAAACCTCTAATATGTTCTTACAGTCCATAGCATTAGATGATGTCACTGGAAAAGTAAATTAAAAACTCAACCCGAAACCTCTAATATGTTCTTACAGTCCATAGTATTAGATGATGTCACTGGAAAAAAATAGATTAAAAACTCAACCCGAAACCTCTAATATGTTCTTACACTCCATAGCATTAGATGATGTCACTGGAAAAGTAAATTAAAAACTCAACCCGAAACCTCTAATATGTTCTTACAGTCCATAGCATTAGATGATGTCACTGGAAAAGTAAATTAAAAACTCAACCCGAAACCTCTAATATGTTCTTACAGTCCATAGCATTAGATGATGTCACTGGAAAAGTAAATTAAAAACTCAACCCGAAACCTCTAATATGTTCTTACAGTCCATAGCATTAGATGATGTCACTGGAAAAGTAAATTAAAAACTCAACCCGAAACCTCTAATATGTTCTTACAGTCCATAGCATTAGATGATGTCACTGGAAAAGTAAATTAAAAACTCAACCCGAAACCTCTAATATGTTCTTACAGTCCATAGTATTAGATGATGTCACTGGAAAAGTAAATTAAAAACTCAACCCGAAACCTCTAATATGTTCTTACAGTCCATAGTATTAGATGATGTCACTGGAAAAATAAATTAAAAACTCAACCCGAAACCTCTAATATGTTCTTACAGTCCATAGTATTAGATGATGTCACTGGAAAAGTAAATTAAAAACTCAACCCGAAACCTCTAATATGTTCTTACAGTCCATAGTATTAGATGATGTCACTGGAAAAGTAAATTAAAAACTCAACCCGAAACCTCTAATATGTTCTTACAGTCCATAGTATTAGATGATGTCACTGGAAAAATAAATTAAAAACTCAACCCGAAACCTCTAATATGTTCTTACAGTCCATAGTATTAGATGATGTCACTGGAAAAGTAAATTAAAAACTCAACCCGAAACCTCTAATATGTTCTTACAGTCCATAGTATTAGATGATGTCACTGGAAAAATAAATTAAAAACTCAACCCGAAACCTCTAATATGTTCTTACAGTCCATAGTATTAGATGATGTCACTGGAAAAGTAAATTAAAAACTCAACCCGAAACCTCTAATATGTTCTTACAGTCCATAGCATTAGATGATGTCACTGGAAAAGTAAATTAAAAACTCAACCCGAAACCTCTAATATGTTCTTACAGTCCATAGCATTAGATGATGTCACTGGAAAAGTAAATTAAAATATAACTCTGAACCGACAATAAAAACAAATCTTTACGTGTAAGTAAAACGTACTTTTCAATAAACATTTAGAATCATATTTAGTATCAAGTATTATATCCTTAATGACAACGCAGAAATAGTCGTTAAATCGAGGTGACCAAGAGATCAAAATGAAACGACAATGAAACGAAAAAAAAAATGTTTAAAGAACATTCAAAACACCAACATACAACATATAGAAAAAGAAAGTGTTCTTAATTTGATAACTTTTGTACAGCTTGTTAATTTCCACAGTGTCCAGAATTTTAGATATGACTACGGTTTCCAAACGTTCTTTTAGAACTCTTAAATGTTCCAGAAGGCATAAAGGCGTGGAAACTAGAAAAAGACATTATTCAAAATCGAATTTACATTAA